GGGGTATGAGGAAAGGTAGCTAAGGCATATGGTGGGTTGGTGCAGGCGGGGTCTGGGGCTGATAGAGGCTCTGCCATTCTCACACCCAGGCTCTTTTTCCCCAGGAGCTGTGCCCCGAGCTCTGGTTGCCTGGCGAGCCTTGGGACCGCAGCTTCTCAGCTCCTCCAATGAGCTGATTCACCCTCTCCCCACAGCACCCCTCTCTTCTCATGGACCCCCCACTCAGAATCAACAAACCCAGTAAGAGGGCAAGGGGTCAAGAAGCAGTGTTGGGGGACAGAGGGGGTGAGGGGTGTTAGTTGATCTTGGACAGGGCTAGGGAGGGGTGGACAGCAACTCAAAGAATTGAACTAACCATCCTGCCATCTCTGTCTTACCCCAATCAGGTACTCAGTGGAGCTGCCAGCTCCCCCCTCTCTCTCGCTGCCAGCAGCCCCCATCCCCATCCTCATGCCCTCCTGTCCCCCCAGCCCTTCCAGCCCCCAGGCCTCCTCCCTCTCTGGTCCCAGCCCAGCCTCCAGTCACCTGTCCAGCTCTTCACTGTCATCTCTGGGGGAGGATCAGGACAGTGTACTGACTCCTGAAGAAGTGGCCCTGTGCCTGGAGCTCAGTGAGGGTGAGGACACACCCAGGTGAGCAATCCGAGGGACAACGGAAGAACTAGAGTACGCGTCTCACTCCCCTGTTCCACCCTTTCTCAACTGGAATGCTTCTGCCCTATCTCATCTCAATCATCATACTGTCTCCCACTCTTCCTCTTCCTAGGAACAGTGTTTCTCCTATGCCAAGGTCTCCTTCGCCCCCCATCACCTACGGGTACATCAGCGTCCCGACAACCTCAGAGCTAGCAGACATGGGCAGGACTGGAGGAGGGGTGGGGTCTGAGGTGAGGGGCTTCTTGTGCCCACCTCGGCCCTGCATCACCCCCACCCCCAGCGAGGGCTCCTTGGCCAACGGCTGGGGCTCAGCCTCTGAGGACAACGCCCCCAGCGCCAGAGCCAGCCTCGTCAGCTCCTCTGACGGCTCCTTCCTCGCAGATGCCCACTTTGCACGGGCCCTGGCAGTGGCTGTGGACAGTCTTGGCTTTGGTCTGGAGCCCAGGGAGGCAGACTGTGTCTTCACAGGTACGTCAGATCACCCCCACCCCTTGGAGTGAACACAGCTCCTGTAAGACCCCTTCTCCCCAACCAAGAGGCCAAGCTTCCTAAACATGGTCTTCATTTTTGTTGTCCTTAAAATGGTTAGTTTTTACTGAATGATTACTACATCCCCGGCTCTATAATAAGCGCTTTACATCCATTCAATAACAGCATGTCTATGAGGAATATTCTTTATATTCCTTTTCTAAATGAGAAAACTATAAGTCAAACAAGTGTATTCACTTGCCTAAGGTCACCTATGAGAACAAGGACAACTTGTTCAAGTCTGATGCCTGGAGGCAGTCAGTTGCGTGGTCCATTTCCCTACTTGCAGGATGCCCCTCTCACCCACACGAGTCTCCAGGAAAGTGGCTCCTAGTCTCTTCTATTTACTCCAACCCAGATTTCTCCTCACTGTGGCAGGTTCTGTTTTCTCTCTTACCTTTGCTGTGCTTCCAAGCCCTTCTGCTTGTCCTGTCTGGCTGCAGGGAGGAGCCACTGGGTTTACCCTTCACGTGTCTAGCAGAGTTATCCCCACGTCAACAGAGGTAGTCAGGCTCCCAGGGCTCCTTCAGTAGTCCTTTCTTCATCTGCTTTATCAGACCCCCTAAACCCATCTCATGAACCCTAACTCTACCCTTTGCTCCCAAGAAAAACAACCAGGCTTGTGAACAGGAGAGCAAGAACTATCCAGGGCAGAAGTGCCCATAATGGAGGGAAAAGAGGATGCCAGGGAGGGGAAGAGTGAAGGAAGAGGATGGGCAGAAAGCCAGTTTGAGCTATTCTCTCTAAAGACTGTCCTCATGTTACTGGGGCTGGGATCACCAAGACTGATGGGCTGAATTGGGGCTAGCTTATGTTTAGGGTTGGTTGTATGCCTTAAGTTGGCCCCAAGTTTCCAGGGATGAAGGCCAACCCTCCACAGATATCTCTACCCTTCCCCACAGATATCTCATCACCTCCCTCTCCCCGGGAGGACCTCTTCCTGACCCCCACCCTCTCCCTGCCCCTGTGGGAATGGAGGTCAGACTGGCTAGAGGACGTGGAGAACAACCGCACCCAGCAGCTGGGAAGGGGGCTGCCTCCCTGGCCCCCCGACCCTCGGATCTCTTCCCAGAGAGGTCAGCTCAGTTGTCCTGCATCCAAGGCTGGCAGTAAGTGACCATCTGCCTGGCGGGTGTGGTTTTGGGGAGGAACCACGAGGGAGACTGGGGTCTGGTAGGAGAGATGAGGAGCAGGGAGAGAACTCCACTCTCCTCCGATTCTTCTACAGATTCCTCCTGAGGCATGTCCCTGACCCCCAAGAAAAGACTCAGAATCCCTCTCCTGTCAGCCACTGGCCCCAGCCCCGGACTATGGGTCTTGGCCTGTGATTCTCCACGGTTGGGTCCACCATACCAAGCCTCCAGAGTTCCCCCTCTGGGATCATAAAGACAAATGAAACACAAAATCAGAGCAAAGCAGACCTGGAGCCTCAGGAGCAGAGAATCATCTCTACCTGACATCCTTGCTTTTCCTCTGCTCCATCCAATCCCACAACAAGGCTGCTTGGCTTAAGGAGCAGCCCATCTCCTGATCTCCCACCCACGCAGATCATGAGAAGTGGGGGAGCCAGGGGTCTTTATAGGAAACAGCGGCAGCTTGTGGGGGGGGGCGTGGAGGAAGGGGCTCCTCAAGCCTCCCCTCAGCCTCACAGGACAATTCCATGGAGACCACCCAACTCCCGCCACAGCATGTAAAGGATATACAGCGCAGTGGCCCCTCAGGGCCCACACAAGGCCCATCCCAGCACCAACGCAAATGTTCCAGTTGAACCCAAGGAAAGAGGTGCAGAATGTGGACCAAAACACCCTCCTGACACTGCTGTCACTGTGAGCTTAAGGAATTGATACTATAAAATGGCATTGACTTGAGTTCTGTGAGATCTTTCCCCAGAGCACCGTTTTGGGGAGGGCACCTGGAGACGTGGGAAGAATTACCTGAGCTACAAAGGGAGCAAGCATTCATTGACACTCGGGAGTGTCACTCATCTCTGTTCTGTAACTGAGGGGAGAATTATGTGCCTCCATCAAATTTTAAGCCGAATCTAGGAAAGGGAGGACTAGGGGATTTTCGGGGTCTACTGGTCTTAGCAACTTTTCCTGAGAAGACAACTCCTCCTTTCAGTGGTCCTAGCCCCCTCCCCAAAGACCAGTCCCAAATGATTTCTTAAGATAGACAAAGTGACTAATTTCACAAAAGGTAGTCCTACCTGCCATAGTTGGCTAGTGAACACCCTTCAGCCAAAACGGCAGAACAGAGAAACAAATGGTGGAGTGGGACATATAAGTCACAGAAAGCTACTGAGAACAATTAACGGAATCTTTCTCACTTGGCAGGAAAGGTCAGGGGCAGAATCCACAAGTTGAGGGGATGTACTGAACATGACCAGGACCATAGGAAGACATGTTCAGGGAGGGCCGAATAACGTCCAAAAATTACTATTGGGAAGGGCCCCGAAAAAGGGTGATTGATAATCCCCCAAATGCCAGCAGCTCTACTGGAGGCCATTCTGCTTTGGGAGGCTGAGCAAGGCGGGGCCTGGGGGCCCTGTGCTGCCTGGACTACCCTAATCTGGTCAGTCTGGGCTGGAGGGGCGTGACCCAGGAGGAGGAACCAGCACTGTGGATACACATCCTTCCTCTCTAATTGCTTTTCCTTTTCTGGATTTTGTTTTTCTTTCAACTTCCTGGTAAAATTCCTTTTGAAAACATTCCAACCCTGTTTGCTAGACCAAAGGAGAAAAAAGGATTTGTACACACTTAGGTCAAAGTACACACTTAGTGGCAGGAGAGGTCAGAGCCTGGGCTTGGCATGCAGCAGCCATATCCTGAGAGCCCAGGGAGGTTACTGAGCTGGGGGTGGAACAAGCAAGAAGGAACAGACCTCAGCTAACCAGTGAGCGTCATGGGCCATGGGCGAGGGAGAAATAGGGACTATGGCATTCATGGCCAAAATTTTTTTAAATTCTCTGCCAACTAAATCGATTACATTTGGACCTAATGTGACCAGGAAGTGCCTGTTTGCACATACCGCATGTTAGGGGGTCTGGGAAAAAGCCTGTTTTTCCTCACTGACTGAGGTTTTCCCCATCAGCTCCCCCTTTCTTTGAGTTTTAAAAATTATTATTGCAAGGGCTTATTTCTTTGCAGGAGAGAAGATATACCCCAGAGGAGTCATTAAGGGAGGGCCTGGCTTGGTTCCCCAAGGGCAGGACAAGTTTCTCATGGTTGGTTATTTTGTAAGTCCCTCTGGCTATAACTGGGGGGCCAGGGGACATGGAGACAGCGGCTTCAGCTCCTTTGGGAGGCAGAACAGGCTGGATCTTTTAGTCCCTGTCCTCACCTAAAGCTTTTGAAAGAGAAGTTAAAAAGGATCTGCACTGGGCCAGCCTAGTGGTGCGTTGGTTAAGAGTTGGCCTGGGACGCCAGAGGGACCCGGTTCAGATCCCACATATGAGGGCCAGTGACACTGCCCTCTACAGCTAAGATGCTGAACAACAGCTCAACCTGGAGCTGGGCTGCTCTGAGTCACCGGCGACGGCATAGGCTGCTGCCCCTGCTGCAGTGGGTTGCTATGGCCTACCGCCTGTAGTCAGCAGCCAGCAGCGGCCAGCAGCCGCCACCATGAGCAGCGTTCCAGAAGCCGGCGACTGATCTGCCTCGCCTGGGAAGAGCGCAATGATGGTGCCAACTTGGCCAGTGAAGCAACATCCACCACAACTAGACTGAAGAACAAGAGGACAGCAACTTGTCTGTTCCCCTTCCCCCAATTCCCCAATAAAAATCTTTAAAAAAAAAAGATGGGCAATGGTATAAAAAAAAAGGATCTGCGCTGATATACACCCCCTTGCAGCCCCTTCTTCCCAGCAACCTACACAAAACCAGACAAATGGCCCAGGGCTCTGATCAGACTCTTTATTGTCTTTTTTACAAATGGGCCTTAGGTAGAAAGACATGGAAAGGGAAGAGCTGGCTCTCTGGCTTCTAAACCAATTCCTCAGGGAGCCCTATGATCATTGCCAGGAGGAAAGAGACCTCCTCCCGCCTCCTCCGCGGCGCCCCCTCATTTACCAAGGGAAGGGCTCCCATCCAGGCTCCTGGCCCAGGGACAAGCCCTTCCCCACGGAACTCTGGATAGTCTCATCAAGGGTCATCTTGGTTCCTAGAGAGAGAGAAAGGAAGAGATGCTGGTTTGCAAGGCCTGGCCCAGGGCAAACAGGCCACAGGAGAGGATGCGCCTCTCTTCTAATCAGCCTCCCTCCTGCTCCAGTTCTCCTACGGGAGCCCAGCCTCCTCTGTGACATGTCTTCATCCTTTGTCACTTTTCTCCAGGATTCTTCCTGACTCCTCACTCACAGGGCCCCGTCATTTTCACACTTCCCCTAAAAGCAGTTCTCTACCTTCCTGTTTCCAGTCACCCCTTGGCTCAGCCTCCCTAGCCCTCTGCTCTCAATTTTGCTATCCCTAGGCCTCACTTCTCGGCGTTTCTGTCCTGGCCTTTGGCTCTGGCTCCGGCTCCGGCTCCGACTCCGTCCAGGACCCCTGGAGCCCCGAGAGCTGCTGGAGCCTCTGGAAGAGTTGCTGCCAGCAGTGGAACAGGTGCTGGTGCCCTGGCCCCGAGACAGGAAGCTTGGTCGGCTGTAAGGAAGCCAGGCCTCTTCTGCAGCACGAGAAAGAAGGGTAGCTGGGCCCAAGCAGAGGGCAGAACACCACTGCTAGCCCATCGTGCCACCCCAGTGACAATTCCAGCTCTGGAAGAAGAGTTAAAGTCAGGAACAGGGTTTAGGCCATCCTGGGGGTTGAGGAGAAGCTGAGTGCCCAGCACATGGCCTTGACATAGCACATGCTCAGAAACCCACTGGGAACTCCCACGCAGAGAGAGCCTTGGGAAAGGAGGGGCAGAACACTTAGCCCCTATTTGTCATCGAGTTTTCAGTCCTGGGAAAGGAAAAAACTTGGGAACCTCAGGGGATTCTACTCAGAGAGAGCTAAAGTGTCTTTGATGTTGATCAAATACATGAACCCAGCTGAACGTGAGGGGTGAGCCGGGTTGAAATGAGTCCATCAATGGCACCATCTGTACCATACTATTAGCCTCCAGTCCTAAAGCCCACCTTCTTACATAGCTGTGGCCCTCCAGCCTGCCCTGGCCCTCCTTACCATCTGGGCAAGGGCCCCGCTGGGACCCCCGGGGCCCCGCCTGCACCATTCTTCTCTCCCCATTGTGCTCCCGTTCCAAGGAGGACATGCTGCCTGCTGCTCTCAGCCCTAAGGCCCAGCTTGTCTCTTCCTCTGGTGGTGGCAAGGGTGGTGGGGGCAAATCTAGGGAGAGACCTGTTTCAGCAGAGTCTCCTGTGTCCCTGATAGCAGGCCCTCTCTCACTCCCATGCCCGCCACTGGGAGGCTGCAAATGAACAGCCCAAGATTTGGGTTTGCCTGCTCTCCCCTCCAGCCCAGAGCTCACCCTTGGTTTCCTGCCTGTCCCCCCTACTGACTGTCACCATCCTCCAGACCCAATGTCCTCCTCACCCCCAGGACTGTGCTCCCGCCTATAGGGAACAGCCTTGGGTTTCTTCCGGATTCGAGCACGGGGTCCTTGAAGTGGAGGAGTCATCTCCCCAGGCATCTGCTGGGTTCTCCCTGTAGCATTAGGAGGTGGGGAGAGGAGCAAGTAAGAGAGAAGGTCTGAAAAGAGGCTTGAGGGGGAAGAGGAAACAAGCTTGGGGGTAGGGTATGGGGAGGTGGGGGAGAGTTGAGGATTCTGTAGACTCACCTGGGGCACTGCTGGCTGTGCTAGGGACAGGGCTGGCGCCGAGGTGATGAGAGGTCGTGGGGCCAACACCCAGGCCAGCAGGCCTCCCTTCATGGCTACTCAGCGTGGGCTGGGACACACTGAGAGGGGAGCTTGGCCCAGGGGTTACCCTCCTGCAATGACATGAAGCCTCAGCATTTGTTCACTCAACAAACTCTAAGTGCCTGCTATGTGCCAGGCACTATGCTAAACAACCTAATACTCAGATGGACAAGACACAGCCCATCCCCACGAGGCTCCCAAGCTAGAGAAGCATGAGGTAAGCCATGTCTATGAAACACACTCCAATGGAGAAACAGTCTCAAGGGAGTGTGAGGCTTTGTCAGCCTCCACGTTTCTCCCCAAAGCACATCTTCACCCTGATACATCCACGAGACCTCTGTATGCCATCCATCCAGCCAGCCAGCCACTGAATAGATATGTACCGAGGACCTATAATATGCAAGGTACTTTACGCCTCCTTACCTGGGCATCTGGTGGAGATGGGGAATGTCAGTGGGGGGCTGAGGAGGGTCAGGAGGTGAGGGGGTGAGAGTGGCTGTGGACTGCTGTCCATAGGAAGGTGTGGGAGAGGGGGTGTCCCCTCGGGATGCAGAAACCAAGCACCCTCCACTGGATCTGGACTCTGCCAGGTGACTCCTCTCAGGCACTGGTGGGCACCAGTCTCCTCGCTCTGAGCTGGGGGAAAAGGGCAGGAGGGTACGGATGACTGAGTAGCCTCCATACCTTCCCCTTGGCCTTCCTGTTTCCCCTTCCCTTCCTCACCCAGCTCTCCGCCCTCCCCCACAGGAGGCCTGGGGTGGTCCCAGTGTAGAGCATCTGCAGCAGGGTGCATACTTACTCGCCCTCCAGCTCCTCCTCAGGCCCCTCAAGGCAGCTCAGTTCACAGGAAGGGGGAGGTGGCGGCAGGGCTTCTGGCCAGTTGAGGGAGGGCATCTGCACAGGTTTCCCCAGCAGCTTCACTTTGCCTCCCCTGGCTCCTGAGGTGAGTAGGATATGGCACACCAAGTTACAGGCAGGAAAGAGGCAGAAATGAGACATGTCAGGAGGAAGCGACGGGCTCGGTCCCAGAGGAAAAGAGTGGGGTGTGAGGAACTGGAGTTGTACCACTGTCTCCCTGGCTCCATTCCGGAGGGGCATAGTGGCTCCAGGTGCCCGGGTCCCCTGAGGTGTTTGGGGGGAAGCCCCCATGGAAGGTCTGCAGCTCCTCCCCAGCTGGGTCAATGGTGCTGTAGACGGGACCCTCAGCAGAGGTGGCAGTGCCCCGGGCCGTCTGAGCCAGGTAAAGGGAGATTCCTGCTTCTGAGGAGGATAAAGAGGGAGGCCCAAGGGAGGAGGCAGGGGCAGACACAGAAAAACAGAGGACAACAGGAGAATGGAGGGCAAAAGGAGATCCCACCAGACAGCTCACTCCTTCCCATCCCAAACCTTACTTCCCAAACTGGAGAACAGGTGATGCATGAGGGAGGCTCCCCCAACTCACATCTTCCCAAGGACTGACCAACCTCAGGAAGACTGGGGCTCCTCAGCTCCTTTCAGTGTGCCCCAATAGGTTGAGAGAGAAGGGCGCAGGGGCCAAGTACGCCCCTGGGGGAATTAGAACTCCTCACCATTGTAATATCTGTCATCTGGGTCGGGATTGCTGGGGCAGCAGCTTCCCCTGGGTTCCTGGGCAGAGGGGCTTCGAGATGGGTGGGGCCATGAGTCTGCCAGCCATGGGTAGGGAGCAGGGCCAAGGCCTACCGGTGGCCTGAGAGAGAGCATGTGAACCTTAGGGTAGAGAGCCTGAAGGGGCCGGGGAAGGTAAAGGAGTCAGAGGCAATCAGAGGCTGTAGGACAGTTCGAGTGGTGTTTGGGGGGGGAGGTGGGAGCCAGTCAGCATGGGCAGGCAGGGAGGCCTGGAGAGGAAGGGGCATGGTCTCTCAGTGGAGAGGATGATCCTTGGGAGATGAGCTGAGAGAATTACCTGGAGCTGTCTCCAGAGAGGCCCTCTGAGTGCGGGAAGGACACTGGGGAAGATGAGGAGAGACCCAATGAGAGAAGAGCCAGTACTGGGGGTCTGAACCCCACAGGGCAGAGATGGCTTACCTGCAGGTGTGTAGGCGAAGGAAGCTTCCGAAAAGAACCCGTGGGAGAAAGAAGAGGGGAAATGGGAGAAGGGTCAGAAATATCCATACTCTTTTTCCATTCCTTGGCCCCATCCCATTTCCACCACTCAGCCTGCACCCTGGACCGATTTCATCAGAATTTCTAGGGGTGGGACTCAGCCATCAGGATTTTTCTAACCCTCCCCAAGTGATTCCCGTGTGTGGATAAGATTGGGAACCACTGGTCTAGGTGCCTTCAAATTTCTGCAGACGCGCCCCTGACCAGGCGGTAGCAGACCCTGCCTCACAATTTACTGCCTGGGCTCCTGGCCACACCCCTCCCACCAGGCCCCGCCCCCAAGAGTGTGTTTTTACCCTCCAGAACAGCACCCTTTTGCTAACACTGATGGCAGAGCCTACTCTCTTCCAGAGGCATCTGCGGGCAAGTCTTACTCCTCCTCCCCCAGACTCAAGTCCCGCCCCCTGAGGGCCCGCCCCCTTTGCCCCTAGTCGGGGCCAGCTCCAAGATCTGCGGTGCCTATCCGGCTTCTCCCCAAGGAACCGAGCTCCGGTTCCACCACACCCCCGATCCCGACCCCACTCCGAAGCCGTGGAGCCATCCCCATCGTTCCCAAGCCCTCCGTTCTGTCTTCCCGCGCCCGAGGGGCGCCCCTGGTCCGCTCCCCTCGGTGGGCTCTCACCCGCGTAGTGGCTCAGTTCCTTGCGCTGTCTGCGGCGCCGACAGAAGGCGCCGCCGAGCCCGAGGAGCAGCGCCCCGCATGCCGCGCCGCCGCCCGCCAGGAAGGCCGGCTCCCGCAGCACCCTGGCCAGCCGCTCCGCCAGCCCCGGGCCCACCTCAAGCGCTGGCTCCAGGTCTGAAGAGGGTGCTGTGGGGGTCAGAGAGGTGAGCGGAGTAGGGGCCTGGGGAAACCCAGGAGCCATTCCGGGACCGCCTTAACTTCCCAGCCCCGCCTTCCCACTCCCACCCCCACCTCGGGACTCACGCAGCTGCACCAACACCGGGGCACTGGCAACGCCCATGCCAGCGCTGGTGGCCGCCGCGATCTGGGTCCGGTAGGGGACACCCGGCAGCAGTCCCCGGAGCACCACGGAGCGCGCCCAACCTGCCGCAGACCGATTGAGGTGGAAGCGGCTCTCATTGCCCAGGCACCAGATCTGAGGAGGCCGAGACCCACGTTTAGAGTCAGAAATAGGATTCTGGTCTCACATGGGAACCTGACGCTCTGAATAGCAGAGGGGGATTAGCCAGGCATAATTCAGCCTGGAGAGATCACTCTGGAATCTCTGTCCTCTCCCCCCAACCTCAACCCCAGCCACAAGGCCAGTCCCCTCCCTAATCCTCTCCCTCCCACCCTGGGCCTTCTCACACCCTGTACCTGGTATTCCTTGATGACCCCATTTTGCTGGGAGGGGAGTGGAGGTTCCCAGGACACAGTGATACTGCTGTTGCCTTCACCCCCTAAGGCCACTGCCACTCCCTGGGGGGGACCACTGGGGGCTGGCCAGAGTGGAGCATGGTGAGAAGGACACAGACAGTTATTGCAAGCTGCTCCCCCTGACCCAACCTGCCCCCTCCAAACTCTAGCATCTTAGGCTCCTAAGAGGCACCCCTCTTCCGACCTGCTCACCGTGCTCTCCCCCTGCAAACTTATCCTCCCCACTCCCACTCCCCCCTTGTCCATCCAGCAGCTCAGTGCCCTGCCCCTTACCCTCCTCAGGAATGCTCCTGGTCACCAAAGGGCTCTCAGCCCCCAGCCCCTCCTGGCCTTGGGCTTGCACCTTGATCTGAATTTGGGTCCCTGGGGGGAGTCCTCTTAGCACAGTACTTTGCTGGCTTGGGGACTGTAGTTCAAGCACTGTCCAGCTGCCTCCATCAGGACCCGCTACCCTCCAAGACACCCGGAAACCGTGCACCAGCTGGACTGGACCATCTACCTGTAGAAGGCAGGAGGAAGCATACCAGAGGGAGAGGCTAGGGCCACGCAAGTCCTCCAGGCCCCGCGCCTCCTCCACTCACCCATCGTCCCCAACCACTCACCTCCCACCCCCCACTCTCCCGTACCCATTCTTGGAGGCCCCTAAGTCCCCCATCATCATCTCTGCCCTTCACCTCATCCCTTTGTCGCACTCACAGTCCACGACAACTGCAGGGTCCGGGGCCCGAGGACTACAGGTTCCTGCATACGCACAGCCACTTCAGCCAGTCCCCGCTGGCCTTTCCACGGGTCCTCCACCGGCCTGGATGGGTTGCTGTCTACTGACCAAACAGCCCACTCAGCAGGGGCCAGCAGAGAGTCAGAACTGACAGCGTGCTGTGTCCTGCCTCTGCCCTGCCACACAGACTGTACTACTTTGTGCTCCAGAGTACACCCCAGGGTCAGGAGGGGCTGGTCAGGGGGATAACTTCCAGAGGTGGGCCAGGGTGTCCAGCTAATATGAGTGTTCTTTCTGCATAACTATATATGCACACTTTAAAGGCCTCTTGCCTCATCTCTCACATGAAGATGACCCCCCAAGGTCCCTTCTAGTCCTGATAATCTACATACGCTGTGGGTTAGGGACTTAGAAGTGAGGAGCTACCAAGGTGACTGAATCAGTCTCCCTCCCTCTCTCTCTCTCTCCTCTTCTCTTGTTCCCTCAACGAGAAGGAAGCTTGACCTCCTGTTCCAGGCTGGCCACCAGAGTAGACCTGGCACAGCAGGAAAGAGCTGCCATGGTGCCATAGTTTGGGGGGAGGGGTGCTCTGCAGTGTTACATGTCATACCCATAAGCCAGGGACCTTGACCTTACTCACCCTGGGTGCGTACAGGCTCAGAGACAGGGCTGGGCTCACTGAGGCCCCAGGCTCCTACAGCTCGTACCAGGAACAAGTAGATGGTGTTGGGCTGCAGACCGCTGACAGTATGTGTCTCCAGCTGCACGCCATCTGCTACTGTCCGCCATGTGTTGCCAGCTGCTTGGCTGCAACAGGAATGAGGTGACAGAGTTGTCTAAACCAGGGACCCCCCCCAAACTGTCTATTCCATCTTATCCATTCACTACGGCCCCCTACTGCCTCCTTCTCCTGGGAGAGGGAATTGGCAAACCTCTCCCCCACAATAGCAAAGACCCTAAGGACATAAGGTCCCCTCCTTTTAACTTTCCAGGTTTGCATCAAAACATTCTTCATACCTGAAGGCCTCTATCACATAAGAGGTGGCTGTGGCCCCAGCCTGTGGATTGGGCTTCCAGGTCAGGGTAATGCTGTTCTTGGTTATCTCAGTGACCACTGGCTGAGAGGGAGGCCCCGGAGGGGTACTGGGTTCTTTAGGAGTGTCTGGTAATTCTCCCCAGTCTTCTGCAGTGAGGAGATAATCTTTAAGTAGAAGGATAGGAAAAGGATGTAACCTGTCTCCTTCCCAGGGGAGCTGTGGGGCTGTGACAGTAGTGATGGTGGAGAGGGAGGCACAGTGCACTAACCCCCATTCACATCCACCTCCCAAGGGCACCGTTTCTTTTGTCCTTCCACCACCATGGCCAGGGCATTGGGAAGACAAAATCAATCCTGGGGTTTGGTGAAGTTTTGACCGCCTTTAAAGAAGGTTTGGAGAAAGGTGCTGGCAAAGAAGGGAACAAAGGAAAAACTCACCCTGCCTTCTAAGCCAGCCACTCCATGTGGCCTCCCCTGTGGAACTCTTGGCCACACAGCTGTAGAAGCCCATGTCTGTCTCCTGTAAGGGGGATAGAGGACTGGTAAACTGGGAGTGGAGCAAGGTAAGGTGAGAGAATGGGAGTGGATATTCAGAAGGTTGGGGAGGATGCTGTACAAGCTAGGTGGTCTGAGAGAACAGAGGGGGTAGCATGGTGTTAAAGTCCCAGGGGGTACTTACTGGGAGTTGGGCACATGGCCATTCTCAGTTACCTGGGCCCCAGGGTGAGACTCACCTGCACGTTGGTAATGTACAAGGTACCATTGGCCATTAAGTTGAGCTGGAAGTCATCCCCCTGCAGCCACTGCCCGTCCTTCTTCCATTGGACACTAGGTTGAGGGTTCCCAGTCACTCTGCATGGCAGCCACACAGAGGAGCCAAGTGCCAGCGTCTGATTGGCTGGTCCCTGGAGGATGATGGGAGGCAACCCATCCATGGAGGCTGAGAGAGGAAGAATGTGAGCACCTCAGGGGAGAATCCTAGGTTCAGGCAACCAGCCCCTTTTCCTCGTTCTCTGCTCCTTCACATATCTCCTTCCCCAAGATATTGGAGGGGTTTGCATGAGCAGCTGTAGTCTTTGCCTGGAACCAACCAGCTACTAGTGGCTTCTGTGGCTGATTTCCAAACTTCAGTGACATGTTTCAGGAACATGTCCCTCCCCTTGCAGACATATTATACAGAATCCAAGAAAAATAAATCTCTTTAAGCCATTACTTCCTTCCATACTATAGGTTCAGTCTTCTCTCCATGAGCACATACCTTCTTTTACCTCCAACAGGGCCTTGGCCACGATGCTGCCAGCCACACTGACAGCCTGACACACATAGTAGCCAGCATCCCTGCTCTGCACTTCAGTGATGTTGAGCTGGCCTTTGGGAGAGACTAAGAAGCGCCCTGTGGGCTGAAGGGACTGACTGGGGAAAAGCAGGACCTGGGGACAGAGCAAGGAACCAAGGTAGGGGATGAGCAGGCAGCTGGCAGAGAGAGGTCCCCATTCCCATTAATGCCAGAATCCAGAGCATTCTTAAGGTTCTAGTTCATATTCGGTCTTAGCCACTTATGTGATCTTGGGCAAATTAGTTAAACCTATTTACAAAAATGAGTGATTTTATTAAATGATTTGGGGGTATACTTCCCAGCTCTGTGCAAGCTATTTAAACTTACTGAGCCCCAATTCCCCCAAATTTGACTCTTAGAGGACAGTTACGAAGGTTAAATGACATAATCATGTGAAACTCTTTTGATATATTGCGTGATAAATGTTAAAATACTTTTCCCTTCTTTCCATACACGGAAGGTAGCAAAGCAGGTTTAGGTCTCAGGGTAAGTGGCACCATGTTGAGCCCCTGACTGACACGGACTTCCACCCTGTGCTACCACAAGCATTCTTTTTTTTTTTTAAAGATTTTTTTTATTGGGCAATTGGGGAACAGTCAAGTTGTCCTTCAATCTTAGTTGTGGGGCGGGGCGCAGCTAGCTCAGCTCCAAGTCCAGTAGCCATCTGGCCGCCCATCGGCAGCTCGCAGTCACTCAGCTCAAGATGCTGGGTTCAACCTTAGTTACAGAGTGGGGGTGGGGGGAGGTGGGGGCGCAGCCCACCATCTCATGTGAGAGTCGAACCGGCAACCTTATTGTTAAGAGTACACGCTCTCACCAGCTGAGCCATCCTGCACCTGTTGGCAGCTCAGCGGCAGCTCATCGTGGGTGCAGTTCACTGGCCCATGTGGGAATCGAACCGGCAACCCCGTTGCTCAGAGCTCACATTCTTAACCAACTGAGCCACTTGGCCGGCCCCCACCAGCATTCTTATTCATTTCAGAATCTAATGAAAATGCAGCTGTCTCCAACGCTAGAGAAGATGTTGGAAAAATTGTGGCTGTGGATTTGGAAAGAGGTAGCGGGTGACCTGGTTTCCAAGTGGGATGGGGTTCACCAGACTTATTTTACTATACTGGTCCCGTTTCCTACTAGCAAAATTCTCACCCTTCCCTTGGAGGGAGTTACTTATGTTGTAACTTCTGTTAATAATGTTCACTCCACAGTTGTATATTCTGGGATTTTTTTGTTAAGATTGAAGAGGGGTGACTTGAGCGCCCCCTGGTGGAAACCTCTTGTAAATAGAAGAGCAAGTCATTTTCTACCCTGAGCAGCTTTGGCAGAGTGCGTGCTACTTGCTTTCCACAGTAGGTTAAAGCATAGGCCCAAGGGGTCTGGGAAACGAGGGATCTAACTAGATTTGCTACATCCTCAGGACAGCCTTGCCCCAAAGAGGAAGATTCTCCAAAGAATTACTATACAGGACTGTTCCCTACCACCTAAACATATTATCATTTATTTTTAAAGTGTGCAATATGTTCCAGGCTTTCATTATCTTATTTAATCCTCCCAAATAACCTACAAAGGTTTCTGGGAGGACCAAAGGTAAAGCAGCGCCGGAGAGAAGTTTGCAGAACGTAGAAGGTGGGAGGCTAAGACCCAGAAGAGAAGCTGATGGGAAGGCTCTAGGAGCTGGCACCTACTTGACTTCCCTCTTTCTGCCAAAAGATGGCAGGTGGGGGGTTTCCTTTGGTCTCACATTGGAAAGTCACACTCTCTCCAGGAGCTGCCATCTGGTCCTGGGGCTGAGTCACCAGCTGGGGTGGGACTGGGAAAGGGAAGGGAGATAAAGGAACAGGGAGTCAGAGGTACTAAGAAGGGAGCTTGAGGGAACAGGAAAGAGATGCCTAAGCTTGGCTTAAGTGGAAACAGATATCCATCCATCTCTGGCTCAAACCTATGTAGCTTTTTCCTTCTCCCTCTCCTACAAGCCTCAGGGGAGCCCACATCTCCCACTCGTCCTTTCTCCCTCATTTTCCACCTGAACCCACCCTCCATTTCCCCTCGCCTCACCCCTGCTGCAGGCATTCCCAGGTGGGGCCTCACCGTGAACACTGAGGGAGCTAGACGCTTCTGCTCGGCCCACGCTGTTCTCCGCCACACAGGTGTAAGTCCCCTCATCTTCAGCACTCACACGCCCAATGCGAAGACTGTGGTCACTTCCGATCTCATACCTGCTCCACTCCCCACCCCCAGGCTGGGTTGGCCATAGCTACAGACCCCTTCTGTCTCCCCCAGGACAGACACCGGGGCAGGGCACAGAGACAAGGCAGGCCTCAACAGAGACAGGAGGTCTAGGAACGGAGGTGGGGCTAGGGCAGGGCCATGGGCTCTGGGGAACAGACTTCTTTGTGCCTTCAAGTGAGAGGGTGTCTGCCCCTCCAGTTTTCTGGGGCAGGGTATGTTCTTGAGCTGGTTGGGTCTCCTCTGAGGCAGGAGGAAGGGGCTTCTCACCTGCCTGTGGGCAGTTCCCCATCTTCTTTGCGCCAGTGTAGATGAGGTAGGGGATCCCCTTGCACCTCACATGGAAAATCCACAGGGGCATCAGCCAGGACCACCTGACTCACTGGTCTCCGCAGGAATGAGGGACGCTCTGTGGCGTGGAAGTGAACAGTCGGGAGGTCTGCACAGCTGCGGACTCCCGAGGCTCCACGATCCCAGAATGCCAAGACTCGGCCGTGTGCCTACCCAGTACCACAAGCTCAGCTGCCGCACTCTCCCGCTCTCCTGCCATGTTAGAGGCCACACACACATAGGCCCCTGCATCGCTCTTGTGTGTATGCGACATCATCAGCTTCCCCCCACGGATCTGCAGAGTAATAAGAGTAACTTTGGTCCTTTATAGCCATCAAAGCATATTTATTTATTTAATCCTCACAACAAGCCCTTGAAGAAGACCAGTTAAGTTGATCCACTTAGACAAGGAATCTTTAAGTGATCTGCCCAAGATGGGGCTCAGGTCTGTCTTTTCTCCTACGGGTCCCTGGGGGCATGCTCCCCCTATCTTATACCAAGTTCATCCTACCCATCCTCATTTATCTCTCACTCAACAGCTGACTCTCAGCCTCTAGTCAACTAATACCCCCCAAGACATTATCTCCTGCCTTCCGAGACCCGTACATTCAGGCCTTCCTCCTTTGAGGCATATCCCAGACCCCTAGCATATGGCCACACCCCTCATGACATGGGGGGGGGGCCCTGGCTGGGATATTGGATCCTCAGCCACGGTGGGCCCTCACCGTGATCCTCCCCTCCTCCTCCTTGACTCGGGCACTGCCCTTCTTCCAGGACACTGAAGGCTCAGGGTGGCCCCTTGGGGGTACGCATTCCATTACTGCTGGCTCCCCTACTGCCACCACCAGGTTCCCAGGAGACTGCCGGAAATCATCGCGAAGGACTGGAGAGAGAGAGAGAATATGGGATGTGAGGTGACATACGTGGTGAAGACAGTGGATCACCGCAGGCTGGACCTCTCCCCCTCTCCCCAGGTGCGAAAATACCAGGCCCACCCAGGCGTGGGCATTAGAGACCAAAGGCTCAGTCCCAAAGGGAGATGCTGAGCGGGCTGAAATTGGAGCTGGTTCTAGAAAAGATTGCCCCGCCCCTCCCGCACCCACCGCCTCCACCCCGTCTCTGGAAGCAACTAGCTGACGACCAGGCCCTCTCTCACCTGCCACTTCCAGTGAGGCGTTCCTGCTGGCCGCGGTCCCCAGGTAGTTGCGCGCCACACAAGTGTAGACACCTTCGTCTGGACGTGCGCGGCGCCCGTGCACGATGCGCGGGAAGAAGAGGGCGCCGCTGGGCAGCAGCAGGCGGTGTGCGCGCGGGTCCTCGCGTGCGGTGGCCACGCGCGCCCCATTCTTGTACCACTCGATGTGGGGCCGGGGCCGGCCCTCCGCACGGCAGGGCAGCGTGGCCGATTCGCCTCGGGACACCAGCAGGTCTGGCGGCTGCTCCACGATGCGCGGCATCGCGTCCTCCGGCCCGACCCTTGACCCTGGGGGCGAAGAGCATCCAAACTGGGAAACTGGGGAGACATGGAGGATCCGGAGAGAAAAAGGACCCCGCCTGCCACCCTTGTCCCTCCCCTCTTGTCCTCCCTCCGCCCCGCCCCCCAGGGTCCAGTATCTCCTGGGAAGGCGCCCACGTTCTTGGGCTCCAAAGAAGGTTCCTACAGACGGGCAGATAAACCAAGGAATCAGGGCACCCTCCTCCTCTCCAGCCAGATCTTAAGTGGGAAGTGAAGGGTCACCCCCCACGGCGCCTCTAGCCGTTTAAGCTCCCGCCCGCACTGGTTCACAGATGTCCTTGCTCCATGAACAACCAGAAGCGGGACACCAGGGCCAACAATGGGTTCCTCGCCTCAGTGCGGTCCCGGACAGCGACATGGAGAATGCGACCCGGCGTGGGGTCCCTCAGGACAGGAAAGGCGTTAAGTGATGAGCGGGGCGTGGGAGCCCATGAACCGGAACAAAGCCCTTCTACTGACACCCCCAGACAATCACGTTTCGGGGTCCTGTGAAGTCAAGGGATTTGAACGAACGCAAACGGTAGTGGAAATGTGGGTAAACGCTCTTTTCTGAGAGGGCACATTGTTCTCCAGGTTGTTGTGGCCAAGAAAGGCTAAGAACCATTGAGAAAGAAATTCCTCTCCTTTCCTGGTTTTCTCCGATCACTGCTTGTTCTGCTTCTGCCCCTCACTCGGCCTACAGACTTCTGCTACCTTCCTCTTCTGCAGTGGTTTGGGATCCAGGAGCGTGGAGCCGGTTATGGTCAGATACCCCAGCTTCATCGAAATTGGCTTTTGTGACCCCTGGCGGCCAGTAGGCGCCGCTGCCGCCTCGCGGAATCTGCGTCCTTCACTAATCAGGGTCCACCCGCTTCGGTTTCCACCTCCCCGCCCCCTGCCCAGCCCCTCCCACCATGTTCCCGAATCCGGGGGGACCTCTGCTTCCAGCCTCGGTATGCGGTTGGCTTTCACTTCTCGCCCCTACTCTTAGAAGTTCTGATGGAGACAAAGCTGGACGGGTTGTCCGTAATGATACTGTCCTGGGGACCGTGTATTTAACGAGTTAGGGACAAGAAGATGGGCTTCCCTCCCACTTAGGGAAGAGAGTAACTCTCTCTCTCGATTTTCTCCCTTCCATATGAAAACTTCTGATTCTCACCGGTCTCTTCTCTTCCATCACATCCCAAGCCCGGTTTCGACAAACCCGGGTGAGCAGCACTCTGGTTAAGAGCTGCGAGGTGGGGTAGGACTGGAATCTCAGACTTTGACACTTCCTACTGTAAGAATTTAGGCAAATTATTGAACTTCTCTGAGTCTCAGCTTATTTATCTGTAATGTGGGAGTAGTGACAGCGTTGTCATAAGACCATAATGTATGTAAAGCATTTGGGGGAAGATTCAATAAATATGGCTATTCTAAGACTACCTGAGGGTTCTCCCCCACTTTATCCTCCTACAGTCTTCACCTGAATCCGATTCCACCAGGCCCCAACATTCTCCCTTTGCCCCTTTCACATCAGGTGTAATGAAGATAGGTCTTTATCGCCAAGCTTTGTGCTGCTTTTGTGACCACTGGGCTACGGTCTATCCTCTCTGAATTTGTTTCCTCCGCCGCAAATGTGACCACCAGCTCCTTCCCTGCACACCTCATTGAATTTTCAAGCTTAAATGAGACAATGTATGGTGAAAACACTGTAAGAACGCTAAGTGAGCAGATGCGTCTGTGAAAAGAGTTCTGTGCTTAACCTCCTGGGAATCTAGGAGGTCAGGAGATTGGAGAATCCCAGCTCCCTCCCTTCTCCCTCCGTGCAGACCACACCCTGCTGGTCGGCACTTTCCCCCTAATTCCTGTAGACACAGATGCAGGCTCCCTTTCCTAGGAATTTCCTCCCTGTCATTCCGTGTCTCAGGAGAGGGTTCGACAGCAGCTAATGAATAGCTAACGGCTATGCTAATGGGGCTCTGGGGCTCCACCCCAGCACCTGGAGTACACACACACACACACACACACACACACACACACACACACAGAGACCCTGGAGTACACACACACACACACACACACACACACACACACACACACACACACACACAGAGCCCAGGTCCCCTTTCTCGCCACCTTTGAGTGTCCAGCCCTGAGCTCGGCCTAGATTCGAGGGGGCGGAGGCCAACGGATCTGAGCTGGGGAAGAACCATAGAGAACCAAGGCCAAGGCGCCCGGGGATGCCGGAGTCCTCAACGCGGCCGGTAGGGGGCAAGCTCGGGTTCCCCCTCCGGCCCCCCTCCCCTGGCTCCCGCAGCGCGGGAGGAGCGCACGGTCTCGGCCATTTATTAATCTCCTTAATTAACGATGACGACCTAGCCGCGGGCGCTGCCCGCCAGCCGCAGCACTTCGGGGTGGGCCGGCTGCGACTCCACCACTGAGAGACAAACTCCCAAGTTTCCCTGAAATGACTGCCGCCTCTGTCGCGCTGTGTAGCAAATATATCCAACATTTTGGCGTCCTCGTCCTAAGTGAGTTCTTAGAAAACTCAGGGTCCCGGAGGAAAACCTGCTACCTGGGTGTGTCACTGAGTGCCCCGGCTCGGCCCAGGCCCGCCGGCGACCGCGCCCCGCCGCTGCCCTCCCCGCAGCCGGTCACGGCCTCTCCTCGCTTGCCCACCCCCAGACACGATTCCCCTCGCCTGGGTTGGCTGGGGTTTGGCTGAGGTGGTGCTAAGTAAGAGACTCAGCAGCCACCTCCTCCCAATCCCTCGACCTCTGCCGGTACCTCACTCAGTTGCCGAAAGCCCCAAATTATCCCTCGGTCCCCACCGCCCAGGGAGGCGCTGGGAGGCGCCTCTCCCCATCCGGACCTGGGGCAGGAGCGCTTGGTCTACCCCACCACGCCGCCCTTCCACCTCACCCCATCCGGGATCCGACGTCCCCACGGGGCAGGGGCTTACCGTTGAAAGAAGGCTCGCCGGGGGGCAGCAGGCTCTGGTTGAGCGCTGCCACCGAGGAGTTGAAGCCGAAGAGCAGGTCGCTGGAGTTGGACATGTCACCGGCCAAGGAGTCCGCGAACAAGTTCATCTGTAGAAGCGTTTTGAGCAGGTAGCGCAGCATGGCGCGACCCGACCCAGACCAGGGCGAGGGGCTCCGGGCCCAGCCCCTGGGTCTGAGACCCGCGGGCCGGGAGCCGCAAGCCCCTCCACAGCCTCTGCGCGCTGCCCCAGCCACGGTGCCGCTGTCCGGCCGGCCGGCGCCTGGGTGCAGCGCGTGCCTCCGCGTGCCCTCCTCCTTCCCTCGTCCTTCTCTCCACCCCCCTGTGCCGCACGTCCCCGGGGAGCTGGGCGGCGGAAAGCAGGTGCCACGCCGATCGCCGCGTAATTAAGGGATTAATCCTCCTCCCTCCACCCTCCCACCCCCGCCCCGACGGCCACTAGCAGGGCCAGAGACTAGAGTCGCTTAGCGCAAGTTGGAGACCCCGCCTCGCGCCCCGCGCCCCGCGCCCCGCGCCCCGGCGCACGGCGTCGAGTTCTGGACACCGCCGGAGAGTTTCCCTCCTTTCTTAAAGTTCTCAAGATGAGGGAGGAGGTTCTTTCGGATTCTGTCTAGCTTGACTTGAGAACAGGAATCCTTCCTCCCTTTTCCTGGCCCTTAGGGAAACTGAGGCAAAGTGCAAGATCGCTCCTCTAGCTCTCAAAACCCTGGCTTCCATTTCCACCCAGGTCCCGGGATTTATCTGCGGAAGTGCGGGAGGCTGGGTGGTTTGGGGCGGGAGTTGGGGGTGGGTGGAGAATAATTCCACAGCGTGTCCACCCCCTTTGCCCGCAGCCACCTGGTTTGCAGCGGAGAGGCTAGGGGATGAGGTGCCGCGTCTTAACCCTAATCTAGTATAGCTCCTGCAGGAACAGGGATAAGACTGCAGGAAGAAAGCCCAGGGATCTCGCGTCGATTTGCATACTTTTGCATTACTCTGCTCTGAGTAATTTTTATTATGTGGTTTTATTAAATTGTTTCACCTTTTTGAGGAAACTGGAGGGGAACCACAGAGTATGAGACAACGACAAAGAGAGCAATACTGTTTCTGTAAATGCAAGAGAAGAGATGGAGTTGATGCAAAACTCGTGCAAATCTGTTCAAACCTGAGAACATCATGGTGGGGGGACATGACCCTTCCCCCAGTCCCAGCCTGCTTCTGATTTTTCTGGAGTTCTTTTTACCTGAATATCTCCCAGTCCTACACCCTACCCACGCGTGCACACTTTCCTAGGCTGGCGATAGCACTAGGGTGTCAGGGGAAGAGACAGGCCGGCCTTCCTATCTGGGGTCCTGCTGTTGGGTGAGTGACGGGTTGTGGCTCAACGGTCAGGCTCTGTGGTCTACCTTCAAGGGGTGGCTGCTTCTGACCAGGAACAGGGCAGGTGAACAGGTCCAGATCCAGGGAGGTGCATGCTACACAGCCGTAGACCTCAGAGTATGCAGAGTCAAGGGTTGGAGTATCTGTCAGACAACTCTCAAGTGAACCAGATATGTTGTCAAGGGCTGGGGAAGGTTGAGGCCAGGCCTTGTCCCAAAACTCCTTCCTCAATGCACACGCCAGCCCTTGGGGCTTCAAACCACCCAGTGTTTAGGTGTCTTCCTACTCCATCGCCTCAGCTCTGCTTTGCAGGGCCTGAAACAAAGTACTGGGGGGGGGGGTTTGCAGGTGGGGCACAGAACCACAGAACTGCCCCACCCGAGTGAGGCAGCACCCTGGGAGTGGTTCTTTCAACACCTCCTCTGCTGGTGCTGGACAAGGAGTCTGGCACCTTCCAGACTACTTCAATCCCAGCACACCTTGAGGCTGAGAGTTGGGGCCGGTGGGAGAGGGGCTAGCGATACCCCTCTTCTTTCTAAAGCACCAGGATACTGAGAGATGGGATTTGACACCTGTCCCTTGCTCCAGGGCCAGGTTGCATACAGGTAAGAGAGATGGTAAGGGATCGATTTGGAATGAACAAGCCGGAAGTGGGTTCCAATCCTATACTTGCCAATTAGAAGACACCATCACTCTGGATCTCAGTTTCCCCAATTGTTAAGGAAAAATTGGACTCCTTGCTCTACTTGGAGGCTTTAGATTCCCAGTTCTGAAGCTCTCTGCTCCGCCTCCTGCTGACCTAGGTCACCTAGGTTCTATCACACCAGAGGCTGAACTGGGACAGAAATCTGGGGACCTGCAGGGCGGGGAAGGCTGCAGCATACAGGAAACTGTACCCTGCCGTGTGGCTCCTGCCCCATCCTAATCTCCCTATTTGCTCCCAGTCAGCCTCTCAGCAAACACAGGCCCTGCCAGTATCTAGGGGCTTGTCACCCTGTTAGCGGATTTGTTCCTGGAGACGGCACAGTTAATTGGCCCTTTATGTAGGGATCAGGGCTTATTTGCTCAGAGTTCCCTAAGCGGAGCCTGCGACTCAGCCCCTGGGCAAGGCTGCTTCCTGATCTCTATCATCTGGGTTTGAAGGCTGCATAAATGGTGGGGCCACTCTCCTTTCCAGGCCCAGCTCTCCTGTCTCCCTTCTACACCTCCCCCCTTCTCCATACGCTTTTTCCTCTCCCCACTTTTCATCTTGTTTCTCTCTGCTCTTCTTTGTACTTCTCTGTATCTCTAGAATGCTCTCCCTTTAAACCAACTCAGACCTAATGCCAAAAGAGGGTGGAGTACTTAACTGGGGTGTACTGAAGAATAAATACCTCCCACCCCAGTTCCTAGAGCCCTAGGCCCAATAAGGGGTGGGGCAGAGGGCCCAACAGGGGTCACACGCAACCCCCAGCTCTGTGGCAACCCTCTCCTGCCTTCTGTCCCTGCACCTTTCCAAGTCTAGCTTCTCTCTGGGCTGTGCACATAGGCAGTTCTGGAAGGAGTTGGCCTCTGTGTCCTCACTGTCTGCCTCCCACCCCAAATTACCTACCTCTTGCTTAGAGAGGATAGGTAACTCACTGCATCTGTCTCCATTCCTACCCTGTAAACTATAGGTGCTTGTACAGCATCTAGAACACTCTGAGCACGTGCACTCTAACTGGAGGGCGCTCATCTGGGGTCCGTTCAATTGATTTATCAGTTTCCACCGTAGGCTGAAGAAAGAAACAGAGTTGAGTTCAGGGCCCCTCCCTTCTGCTGCCTCAGGAGACTGCTTCTTTTCAAGGGTTTTATCAATAACAGTTTGCACTTTACACAGGGTAGAAAAGAAAAAAGGAAATTTGAAGGAGAATTGCCAGAAAGGAGAGAGAGAGTAGCTGGAGGAGGCGGGGCTGGGGAGAGTTGAGTCTGCGGAGGTCGGAGGTCGAGAGTATGTTCTTTTTTTGTTGTTGGCAGCTCAGCTCAGCTCAGGCCAGGAATCAAACGGCTAGTTGCTCAGAGTTCACACTCTTGAAGTGAGCTCTTAACTAACTGAGCCACTCAGCCGGCCCTGAGGGTAAGTTCATTCTGATGGGGTTATGGCATGTGGTGGGAAGTTTTGTGTGTGTGTGTGTGTGTGTGTGTGTGTGTGTGTGTGTGTGTGTGTGTTTAGGGAACAACTCATGTGCAGCCAGAGAAAATAACCTAGGGATAGGGCTTGATGGTAGATGTGGAACAGGGATATTTCTTTCCCAGGGTGGCATTTTGAGTGGCTTGGTTTGCAGAGAAGTCTGGAAAATGGGAAAGGGAAATGTGTGTGTGTGTGTGTGTCCCTGTGTGTGTGTGTGTGTGTGTGTGTGTGTGTGTGTTGAGGGAGAGAATAGCTACCCTGCCAGGCCAACTTCCTTGGCCTAGTGCCAGCACATTGGCCAGAGAAGGTAGCTGGGAATTTTCAGTGACCAAGCTGGGGGCTGTATGGGAGGCTTCTTGGTGGTCCAAAGCCTGCATGCCAGCTGGTAGTGGATAAAGCTGCTGGCATGTAATTGCCTGGGAGGGCAGTCTGAGGACAGCCTCCCACCCAGTCTCATACTGATTACTGTCACTACCTCTCCCCAGCACACACACACACACAAACTGCCCAGCCCATTTACATCCCCCTAGAGCCTGCAGCCTCCCATCACTCTCTCTGCCTGGACCTCTTCCCAGGGCACTGATACACATTGAGCATCTGTGTGTGTTTTGGGGAGGGGAATGAGACAAGGAACTAACATCTGCCCCCAACCCCTACTAGGCTATGCCTGTGAATGGCCCAGCAGGGTTGCTGGCTTCAGAGTGATGATGCCAGGGGGCAGTGACCCAGCTAGCAGGGGCCAGAGGGCCAAGCAGGAGGGGGAATCAGAGAGCAAAGAGCAGGCACCTGCTGGAAAGCCGACAGCAGGGGCCTGCCCCCAGCAGGAGCCAGGGTTTGTTGGCTCAACCCCGGTAGCTGCTGAGATAATAAGCAGGGTGGGGCAGGGGGGGGCTGCCCAAGAGTGCCGCTTTCCCCACAGAGTTCCAGTAGAGGAGCCTGTGGGGAGACACTTTGCAACACACGCCATCAAGTCTGGAAATCTGGAGGCAACTAGGCAGAAGAGTCCACATCCTAGCACAAATGGGTAACAAGAGTGTTCTTTTTCCTTATAGAGAAAACTTTGTACAGAGCAAGCACTCCATAAATATTGGTTTAGTGAATACATCTGATTAACTGCCCCCTCAGAGCCCACTAACCTTTGCTGCTTCTCTACACTTTCT